AAGCAATGTCCAGCTCGCTTCTCTCAAGAGGAGAAAGACTCTGTAGCCATCGTACAGAGTAGCAATCAATAGGAAGGGCGGACGGAACAGAGGTGCGGGTTACCGGCCTGTCTTCGCCACGCAAACGTGGCCTGGTAGGACGTCCGGTGAGTTTCGGCGACTTGTTCTTCCCTGGTGTGCTGGAATCGGTTTTTGCCTTGGAAGAATCGAGTAATAGACAGATATTTTCAAGCTCCTTGCTACGCCATTCAAGATTTCGAACACGACAGGGTCTTCCTGGACCCTGTGGATCCTCAGGTGAGATTGCCCGCTCATTATCAGTCTCATCATCGCTGCATGCCACAATAACAATTTTTGAAAGTGGCCATAGTTCTTTTTGAGAAAGAACTACATTTTCATGCAGCCGTCGCAACTAAGATTCGGAATATTCAATGTGAGGGGTTTTCCATCAATTGTGTATTTTAAAATGTGGTACTTACGTATCTTAGCCTAGCGCTTCTCCGAACTTCATCGGCTGTTCTTTTCCTGCGTTCCTCATCCCAGTTTTCGTTTTGGTAGCTATATATAAGATGTGTTTAGCCAAAGAAGCCCTGTGTAAGTCTACCAAGAGGATTGGTCATCATCATGAAGCAAGTATCAAGTTGAAGCTTACCGCTTTTTGAGTGACATGACATGAGTGAAGAGACACCTCTTGATGAAGTCGTGGTCGCCATTCTGTAGAGGTACTCCAGTATACTCTCCGCATTCAACTAATTTTATAAATATATTTAAAGCAAGATCCCATAACCACTTGTTGGGTTGTGAATGAGGTGGTTCCGAAAAGTCTGGACAAAAGCTTGAGACTCCCACTGCTTGCATCATATTCCATATGACCGAAAGTTGCTGAGGAGTGGAGTCTTTATGCCCGGGTCCATTTGGATACGGGAAACATGGATCAAAGGGCTGCGCATGAGAGGTTTGAGCACTGGAATCTTCATTGATATTAATACTTTTTGGTTCAACATCACACATCCAAGCGCTCCTTTTGATTTCGGTTGCAGGGCGTGGAAGATTGTTCTCCTGGTCCCTCTGCCCAAACATTGTCTCAATGTGAAATCGTATCCGAGCCTAATCCAATTTAAAGGATTAATCTTGATTCAAGACTGAGCGCATAGAAAAACAACTGACTGAAGTTTGCCCACCGCGTGACTTAGTACCACTGCCCTTTGGAGAGCATGTCCCAATTCTTTTGTCAACAACGTCAGATAAAATATCAAACTTTTCTGATATCGCCTCAAGTCTCTTGTCTGTCCTTGCTATGTGAGCTTCGAGCTTATCTACATAGAAACAGGCATCAGTTTCTGCTTCATTGAGGATCAAACAAACCCAGAAACAGATATATGAAACTACACTCACAAATCCTTTGAATGACCCAGTCCGCACTTCCAGTTTCTAGCTTATCAGACTCATTTTTTGATGGTTTTTTGGGATTCGAATCGTCTGGTCCATCTCGTGCTTCAGGAATTGAGTTTGTTTCCAGAGACTCTCCAGACTCAAGTACGCTATCAAGGGTGAAGGTGCCTTTGCTATTCTGCCTTCCTTTGGGCCTGGAAGTGTCGCGCGAAGTATTGGGTCTGGTATTTGAATTTTCATCATCACTAGCTTCGCTGATGTAGGTGTCTGATGGATTGGAGTTGTCGGTTCCAGAGTTAGATGGTACGTAGTCATCGCTTCCAGAGTGAGATGTTGTGTAGTCATCGCTTCCACGTGCTTTGAGTTTGCCCTTTCCTGATTTTCTTGGTTTTGGCAACGACTTTTTGATTGAGCGCACTCCAGGCTTCTTTGAGCGGATGTTCTTAAGACTTCGAGTGGAGGATACAGATGGTCCTGCAACCGGCTGTTGGGATTCGGAACGATCCGGGCTCGAGTCTGGAACTGCAATCAAAGGTGTAAGAGTAAGAACACGGTACCTATATTGATGATTGTACACATTACATGATACTATTACTGACCTTCTTTGGGCTCTGAACTTCGAATTGTGGGTACCGATGGTCCTGCCACAGGCTGTTGGGATTGATCCCGACTCGAGTCTGGTTAAGCAGTCGAAGATGTAAAAATGAGAACAGTCTCTATATTCAGCACATGACAAGATATTGACCTTCTTTGGGCTCTGATGTGTTTGAAGACTCGAAGGAGAATTTCTGTAGGTGATCCGGAATGATAACTATCATGCTCATATGTACGTCAGATTCCAGCTCAATTCTTGGACGAAGGAAGACAAACTTACTCAATTCACTATATGTCTTACACATCTTGATGAGATTTGTGCGATCAAAATCAGTGGCATCAAGTCCCACACCACGAATCA